GGAGAGGTGGTCAGGGTGGGCTTCCCGGAGGAGGCAGCAATTGAAATTGCATTGAATAGTCCAGTGGAAGGCATTCTGGGTGGAAGGAACGTCGACAGAGAGAAAGAGAGAGAGAGTGAGACACAGAGAGAGTGAGTTATGGAAGGAATGCATGTGACTGCCGTGTAGAGATCAGAGGGAGACTCTGGACCCCATGAGGAGGAACCAAGAGGAACTGTGGCCATAGGGACCCATATAGGTCATGTGACATTTCTTCGGGAGCCAAACAATTGGCAGAGAGTGGCGTGGCTTGTGGCTCTGCCTAGTGGTTCTGGACATGGCAGCTGCTCTGAGTTCGTGTTTAGTGGCAGGTGGCACTTGGGATAGGAAATAATCCCCGCCAATTCAGCCAGGATGGGCAGAAGGCTTGTAGCCTGGCGTTCAGGCTATGCCCCAGGTACCTCCCCTTTGTGGTACCCGAAGCAGCAAATGCCATGCCCACAGCTGCTCTCAGACACAGAGACTGGCGGCACGTGCCCTTCCCAGATGGTCGAGCCCTTGGGAGTCTGTATGCCTGGTTGATGTGGCGTCTCCTATGGGACGATGAAGCGTGAGCTCATGCTCTGATTTCCTGGCACAGCTGTGGAACTCTGCCTGGGCCCTGGCTGAAACCTGTTGTTCCTTTCTGGGCTTCAGTTTCCCTGTGGAGTCCACAGACAGAGCTTCTTAAAGTTCATTCTCCCTGTAGTCCCAGCTGGCCTGGAACACTTGCTATGTAGACCAGGCTGGCCTCCCATCTCACAGAGACCCACCTGCCTCTTTCTGCCTATTGCGTGCTAGGGCTAAAGGTGTGTACCACCACACCCCTGCAGCTCTGTGTGTATGTGTGCGCGCACATGCATATGTAGTCCCATACGCCAGAGGTCAATGTTGGTTGTTTTCCTCAGTCTCCACTGTATTTTTTGAGGCAGGGTCTCTCATTGAACTTGGGCTCAGTAGTTCAGCTAGACTGGCTGGCCAGTTGAGTCCCAGTGATTTTTAAGATAAAAGGGCTTTAGGGATTCAAACTCGGGTTCTCAGCAAGCGGTTTACTAACTGAGCCATTTCCCCAGCCCCTGGTCCTGTCCTTCTGCCATTATCCTGTTTAAGGGGATAATCTTGCTTTAATTATTTTTCTTGTTGCCATGACAAAATACCTGGTTAAAACAACTTAAGGAAGGAAGGGTTTATTTTGACTTAGAGCGTGAGTCTACAGTTCATCCTTGTGGAGACGTCATGGGGTCAGGAGCATGAGGTAACTGGTCACGTTTCATCCATAGCCAGGAAGCAGAGAGATGAGTGCTGGTACTCAGCTCGCTTTTTCCTTTTTAAGAATTTTATATATAGGGGCTGGAGAGATGAGTCAGTGGTTAAGAGCATTTACTGCCCTTGCAGAGGACCTGGGTTTGGTTCCTAGCATTATATGGCTGCTCACAACTGTCTTTAACTCCAATTCCAGGGAATCTGATGCTCTCTTCTGGCCTCCTCAGACATTGCATGGTGCAGGTGCACTTAGGTGCAGGCAAAACACTCATACACAGAAAACAAAAATGAGCATAAAGAATAATAATAACAAAAAGAATAAAGGCCGGGTGTGGTGGCACACGCTTTTAATCCCAGCACTCGGGAGGCAGAGGCAGGCAGATCTCTGTGAGTTTGAGGCCAGCCTCGTCTGAATAGTGAGTTCCAGGTCAGCTGGGGCTACAGGGAGATCCTGTCTTAAAAAGACCAAAAAAAAGAATAACGTATTATATGTATGTATATGTATTAAGTGTCTACACATGTGTGTGCAGATGTGTTTGCCTGTGTGTGCATGTGGAGGTCAGAAGAGGATGTTGAGTATCTTCTTCTACCCTCTATTTCTTTGAGGCAGGATCTCTTCTTTGAACCTGGGGCCCCTATTTTCTTGGTTCAGCTGGCTGCCAGGACACCCCAGTGGTCCTCCTTCTCCACTCCTTTTGGAGCTGTGGTTACAGGTGTGTGTAGGACTTCTGGTTGGTCATGTGAGTGCTGGGACCCAAGCACTCGTTCTCATGATAGCAAAATAGGTGCTCTTAACCACTAAGCTATCTCTCCAGCCACTTTCTCCATTTTATTTTTATTCACTTATTTCTGTGTGTATGTGTGTGCACATGCAAGTCAGGGGACAACTTGGAGCAGTCAGTTCTCTCCTTCCACCATGTAGATCCCAGGGGTCAAACTCAGGTCATCAGGGTCGATGTCAAATGCCTTTACCTTTTGAACCATGTTGTTGGCCCTGCTTTCTTTTTTTTTTTTTTTCAATCTAGGAACCAAACCTATGAGATGTTGCAACTCACATTCAGTGGTGGGTCTTCCTACCTTTTGCTAAGCCCCTCTGGAAACATCCTCATAGCATGCCTAGAGGTTTGTCTCCTAGGTGATTCTAGATCCTGTCAGGTTGACATTCAGTATTAACCATCACAGGAGGGGTGTTGGGTTAGGCTTTAGTCATTGCGGGAACCCTGTTGCCTTGGAAGTGAGGGGTGCCCTGGCTGGACCTCACCCCAGTTGTAGGTGACATCACTTCCTACCTCCGTCCCCCTTCCTCTTCCTTTGCCCACCCGTCCAGTGACTTTGTATTGGCCTCATTAACCCTGCTTGGTGCTTCTATGGCCTGTGGCCCTGGGGAAAATGACCCTGTATTTGGCCGTTGATGCCTCCTAGGGCTTCTGATGGTGAACATAGCCCTCCTACCCCTCCCCTGCCTCTCTGTCCACTCTCATCACTCAAAATTGCTCAAGGTTTCCCTGTCCTCTGGACTTGATTTTTAAATGTTCTAGGCAGACCCTGAAGCTCCCACCAGGTAGAGCTGGTGGCTCTTCTCTGTCTGTCTCTAGCAGCTGGCCCTGTCCCATCTAGGCTGGCCTGGCCATCCTTGGGCATCTAGGCTCTAGTGGCTGTGCTCTGGCCCGGCCTCTCTCCTGTCCTCTGGGACTGTTGAGTCTCCATCTTCCTGGAGAGAAATGAAGTGTCTCCTATCCCTGAGCTCATCCTGGGCAGGGACAGTGCTCTTAAGGACTTTGTAGTTTGGGGAATGCAGAGAGTTGAGGGGCAGGTGCTTTGTTGCTGCATTCTTTTTGAAGACAAACTGTGCTCTCAGCTGCTGTTATCCCTCCAGCACCCACGATCAGTTTTATTTATGTTTATTTGTTTAATTTATTGATACAGTCTCATGTAGCCTAGACTGGTCTTGAACTTGCTGTGTAGCCAAGAATGACTTTGGATCTGTGATCACCTGGTTTATGTGGTGCTGTGGATGGAGCTCAGGGCTTTCTGCATCCAAGTGAGCTCCAGCTCCCCTCCCCCATTCTCTTCTCTCTCTCTCTCTCTCTCTCTCTCTCTCTCTCTCTCTCTCTCTCCACCCACATCATCTATTTTGAGGTAGTGTCTTACTGTGTAGCTCTGGCGGGCCTGGAGTTTGATATGTAGACCAGGCTAGTCTCCAATTCACAGACATCCACCTGCCTCTACCTGAGTGCTGGGATTAACAAAGGCCTGCACCACCATGCCCAGCTGATTGATTGATTGATTGATTTTGTGTGTGTCTGTGTGTGTGTGTGTGTGTGTGCACGTGTGCGGGCGTGTGTATGGCCATGTCACCGAGTGGGTGTGGCAGGCAAAGGACAGTCTGTGGGAGTCAGTTCTTTCCTCTATCTCCTGGGTTCTGGAGATCAAACTCAGGTCATCAGGCTTGGTAGCAAATGCCTTCCTTTACCCACTGAGCCAACCTCTCTCTTTTTTTCTCTCTCTTTTAAAATCATGTTTACTTGGGCTCGAGAGATGGCTCAGTGGTTAAGAGCACCTGCTGCTCTTGCAGAGGACCTGGGTTCAATTCTCAGCTAATAACCATCCATAACTCCAGTTCCAGGGGAATTCAGTGTCCTCTTCTGACCTCCACAGGCATTGTACCACATGGGTGCACTTAAATATTTTACTTATTTTTTTATTTTACGGATATGAGTGTATTGCCTGCATGTATGTGAGTGCACCCATGTTGTGCAATGCCTTGGAGGTCAGAAGAGGGATTTGGATTCCCCTGGAACTAGAGTTAAGGACAGTTCATAGCCGCCATGTTGGTGCTGGGAATCGAACCCAGGTCCTCTGGAAGAGCAGTTCGTACTCTTAACCGCTGAGCCATATCTCCAGCCCCAAAGTAAAATATTTTTTGAAAAATTATATTTTCTTGCCGGCCGTGGTGGCACACACCTTTAATCCCAGCACTCAGGAGGCAGAAGCAGGCAGATCTCTGTGAGTTCAAGGCCAGCCTGGTCTAATAGTGAGTTCCAGGACAGCTGGGGCTACAGGGAGACCCTGTCTAAAAAAGACAAAAAAAAAAAAAAAACTTTATTAGTATGTGTGTATGCCACCTTGCATGTGTGAAGGTCAGAGGTCATCCTGTGGGAGTCGCTTCTGTCATTCTACCAACATGAACCCCTGGATCAAACTCAGGTCCTCAGGTTTGGTGGCTAGCACCTTGACCCGCTGAGCAACCCTCCTCCTGCCCTTTTTTTTAAAGACACAATCTCATTCTGTAGCCCAGGCTGGTCTGGACTCCATGTAGTCCAGTCTGGCTCCGCACTCACATCCATCCTCCTTCCTCAACTTCCCCAAGTGTTGGGATTGCAGGTGTGGGCCACCATGCCCTGTTGTATGACAGGCTTTAGTGTGTTTTATTATAACTGTGCTGTCTGCTGTTGTTTCTCAACACAGCTATCTGAAAGGCAGGCTCCTGGGAGTGGGAGGAATAGAGGAGACGTTTCTAGACACAAAGACCTCTCAGTGGGGTTGGTGGGGGAGCCCAGTGTGTTATAAGAATCTGTGTTTCTAAGAAAGCCTCACAAGGGCGTAAATGGGCTTTATGGGATGCTTGAGGGGCAGGCAGTGATGGGTGATGGGTGATGGGTAGGGTTTGGATGCTGGGGGCTGGTGGGGTACTGCTCACTGTCACCTTGGTCCCTCAGGGCATGGCCGAACTGATGAGGACTGTGTGGATGAACGTGCTAGGCACCACCGGGAGGACAGGCTCCTAGGGGCACGACTGGACCGGGACCAGGAAAAGCTGCTTCGGTGAGTGGGGGGATCTCGTCTTGAGGATAGCATCTAGGGTCCCCAGGGGGAGTGACTTACTCTTACCAGAGGGTTTGAATCCTTGATCTCTGGCTCCCATCATTGTCCTGAGAGCCGAGCCATCTGGGGGTGTCAAGCACTGTGACCCTGAGTGCCCTCTAGCCAGAGGATAAGGCCCCTAGCTTTCTCATCTGTCCCCACACTCAGCCTGAGTGTCTGCCAGGTCCCTACGGTGGGGGTTCCCCTTTCTCTTCCTCCCTGCCCCTGGCCATATCTCTGTTTTCCTCTTGCAGAGAAAGTAAGGAATTGGCTGATTTGGCCCGCCTACACCCCACCAGCTGTGCTCCTAATGGCCTGAACCCCAACCTTATGGTGACTGGGGGCCCAGCGCTGACAGGTTCAGGACGCTGGTCTGCTGACCCCGCGGCACATTTGGCCACACACCCCTGGCTGCCTCGCTCAGGCAGCACATCCATGTGGCTTGCTGGACACCCCTATGGTAAGTATACATTTGGGGGTTTCTTTCCATGGTAGGAAGGCTGGGACTCACCACTGGCTCTTTTCATCCCTGGGTCTGGTCAGTCTTGCTTTCCTTCCTAGTTGGGGTGGGACATAGGAGTTTGCCCCTGTCTGCCTGCCCTCTTAAACTTGCCTTGAAGTCCTTGGTGAGACTGAGGAATCAGGGTGCTGGCAATGGGCCTTGTACCTCCTGACACTGAAGTGAACTTGGGTTTCTCTCCCTAGGCTTGGGACCCCCTTCTCTACACCAGGGCATGGCTCCCGCATTCCCACCTGGCCTCGGGGGCTCCTTGCCGTCGGCTTACCAGTTCGTCAGGGACCCCCAGTCTGGTCAACTGGTGGTTATTCCTAGTGATCACCTGCCTCACTTTGGTAAGTAACCCCTATGTTTCAGGCAGGGATTCTGTCAATCTCCCATGGTGGTGGAGCAGCTTTGCAGAAGGGGATGAGGGACAGGTGGGCTCAACTTAGTTGCTTCCAGGGGACAAAGCCTGGAACCCCCAGGAGAAGCCAAGCAGGGCTGCCTGCAGGGACTGAAACACCTAGTCTCATGTCCTTCTTGGGACCCACTTTGCAGGCCATAGGGTATAGTCCCCAAGGTGGCCTTGATAGAGTCCTGCATATTGGCATGCTCCTGTTGTGGCCTTTTTTGGGCATCCAACCTGGGAGAGGGGGGTGTTTGGATAGGGGTGTGGTACGCACATAAATGGGGGACAGTCTCCCTGGCCGTGGAAGTCAGCAGGGGCCACAGGTCTCCTGGTGGCTGTCTGTCTGCTTTGGGCCTCTCTCTGGAAACAGGATGGGAGCATGTGAGGGAGCGTGGGCCATAGGTACAGCCCTGTGTCATCTGTCTCCACAGCTGAGCTGATGGAGCGTGCTGCGGTGCCACCCCTCTGGCCCGCCCTGTACCCACCGGGTCGCAGTCCCCTGCACCATGCCCAGCAACTGCAGCTATTTTCCCAGCAGCACTTCCTGAGACAGCAAGAGCTGCTGTACCTTCAGCAACAGGCTGCTCAGGCCCTGGAACTGCAGAGGAGTGCCCAGCTGGTGGTGAGTTTCCGCTCCCTTGATGGGAGGTAGATGCCTCAACTTGCACAACCTCCAAAGAGAAGGACTTCTGTAGGAAGCAGCATCCGAACAGAGGTGGAATAGAGGGAAAAAGATGTGCAAAGGCCCAGGGGTAGGTGGATGATGCCCAATGGGGGTAGGGAACAATGGGCAATAAGAAGACTAAGGCAGAGGTGATCCATGGATTGGGGGACATTTGAACTGGACACTCAAGGGATGTCAGAGGGTCCCCCTCCTTTTCTGGGCAGTATCCACTTTGGAAAGTCAACGGAATAGTACAAAGATGTTATCAGGGCCTCAGCCCTGGCTCTGTGTCCTTGGACTAATGACTAACCTCTCTGGTCTTTAATCATTTCTGAAAACAAAGGTGTCTAGTAAGTGATGGTTCCTGAGCTCAGTTGCTCTTAGTGGGAAGCAGATCTTTGTGTGTTTGGCTTACTAATGCCCAGCTCCTGTAATTATTGGCTATTGTTGAAGTGGTTTGCTCCCTCTCGTTTTGTTATCCGATGCCTCAGTAATTTCCTCCTGGCCCTGAGGTATTTGGATAATACAGCTCAGCACTGAGCAGGCAGGAAGTACTCCATTGAATACATTCAGTGTAGGGCTAAGGGCATGGGCCAGCTCCTTTTTTAAAAAAAAATTTTTTTGGATTTACTATTTTTATGTTGTGTGTATGAGTGTTTTGCTTGCACATTTATAAGTGCACTACATATACAGTGTCCATGGCAGCCAGAAGAGGGCGTCAGATCCCTGGTACTGGAGTTATGGATGGTTGTTAGCTGCCATGTGGGGGTTGGGAACTGAACCTGGGTCCTCTGCAAGAGCAGTCAGTGCTCTTAACCACTAAGCCATCTCTCCAGCCCCAGGGTGGCTTTTTTTCTTTTTTTCACTCTCAGGGGCCTCTTGTTTCAACTATGAGGGCCAGGAGAGTCTTGATAGAAGTCCCTTCCAGACTGGTGGCAAGGGGCTTCCAGACAGGTGGCCAGGGCTTCCTGGCAACAGCTAGGGCTCTGTGCCCTGTCCCCGGCCCTGTCCTGTGGGTTCTATGGAATACCACACTTATTGTGTGCTGTTGTGGAATTTCCATGGTGGAATCTTTCAAGACAGGGAGGGCTGGGTGGCTTGGACCTGGGATCTTGCCTGGAGTCCGGGGACCCAGCAGGTGCTGGTGATGGCTCTTGTCACACTGACCCTGAACACTGGTCCCCTCACCAGCAGGAGCGGCTGAAGGCACAGGAGCATCGTGCTGAGATGGAGGAGAAAGTGAGTAAGAGGAGTCTGGAGGCCGCAGGCAAGGCTGGCCTGGCTGCTTCGGGCCCAGGGATGCTGCCTCGAAAGCCCACTGGACTGACCACAGGCCCCTCAGGAGCCCACAGCAAGGCCGTGAGCCCACCGCCATCACCCCGAGCCTCCCCTGTGACGGCTCTGAAGGCCAAGGTTATCCAGAAACTGGAGGATGTGTCCAAGCCACCTGCCTACACCTACCCTGCCACGCCGAGCTCCCACCCCAGCAGCCCATCACCCGCCTCCCCGCCACCCACCCCTGGCCTCACCCGCAAGGAAGAAGCCCCTGAGAATGTGGTGGAGAAGAAAGACCTGGACCTGGAGAAGGAGGCGCCCAGCCCCTTCCAGGCTCTATTCTCAGGTGGGAGCACAGGACACGGGCTGCCTGGCCTCAGCAGTCCTGAATGTGGGGACACTGAATCCCCAGTTGTTCACTGGTGGGCTTGGTTCATCACTCACTCTTGACTGTTCATTTGCTCGTGCATTCATTTGTTCATTCCCGCCTGTCTCTTGACTCACACTCACTTGCCCATCTAATCATCACCCATCCATTCGTCATTCACTCTTTTTTTTTTTTTGGTCTTTTTGAGACAGGGTCTCCCTGTAGCCCCAGCTGGCCTGGAACTTGCTATGTAGACCAGGCTGGCCTTGAACTCACAGAGATCCGCCTGCCTCTGCCTCCTGCGTACTGAGATTACAGGGTGTGCCCCACGCCCAACTTATTCCTTCACTTACTCCTCCCTGTTCACTGGCTCATTGATTCACTCACTCTTTCCAGTGCAGTGTGCAGTGTGCAGTCTGCTGCCCAGCTCTGGAACACGTGCCCCTGCTGTTCTTCCCTGACCCCTTCTCAGTGGTGGTGTAGGAGGTCCAGACAGAATGTACTGTGAGAGGGTCTACTGCTCTACGTGTGATATAAAACCAGATCTGTAAACTGAGCACTCAGGCATTGCTAAGTCACGCTGGGGACCATTAGAGGTGCCCATCTGGGCAGCTGTTCCCTTGACCCCATGCTGGGTGGTGCACACACACACACACACACACACACACACACACAGTCCAGTGCCCTGTGTTCAACAAGCTTGGCAGCAGGTGGCTTTGGGGACTAAGGAGTATGTCTCCTCTCCTGGGGGAAGTAAAGATTGTGAACTTGTGCTTGGGAGGACTTGGATTCAGAATCTTGCATCTGTACTATGCAAGTTTGGGCAGGTTGCTGTCTCTCTGGGGTTGTCTGCTGTGATACTGGTGTTGAGAGCATTGTATTCTGTCTGAAGGTTTTTGTTGTTGTTGTTGTGAGGCAGGGTCTCCCTGTAGCCCCAGCTGGCCTGGATCTCACTGTGTAGACCAGGCTGGCCTCGATCTCAGAGATTCTCTTGCCTCTGCCTCCCGAGTGCTGGGATTGACTGTCTGCTATTCTGTTGTCCTTTGTTAGGCTCCTGTTGGGCACTTCCCCGGCATGGGCCTGGTCTCAGTCTGCAGAGTCACTCCGCACAGCCCTGCTCTTGGGCCAAAAGTGTATTATTGTCAGGTTTTGAACAGTTACTTTATTTGCTGGGACACAGGCTGGGCTAGGACTGATGGATCTTTGTGGACCTTATTTAAGCACTTGCTTCTGGTCCAGTCTTGATTCTGCTTTGATACAGAAGTCCCTTGAGGATAAGATAGTGGGCTCATTTTGCTGTCAAGGCCCAGACATGTAGAAGGGTTTTGGGTATCTCAGGAGGGACGTCCCACCTTGTAACTAGTCAAGCAGAGGGTGGTTGGCTGTGTGTTGAATCTCTTGTATCTTGGGAGATGGGAACACTGGTTATTGGAGCCCTGGGAAGCCTCCTACACTGACCTCTTTATGTCTTTGACAGATATGCCCCCCAGGTACCCATTCCAAGCCCTGCCACCACACTATGGGAGGCCATACCCCTTCCTACTGCAGCCTACCACAGCCGCTGATGCTGAAGGCCTGGCCCCCGACGTGCCACTCCCTTCCGAAGAACCCGAGCGCCTTGCACTGTCCCCGGAAGACAAGCCCATCTGCCTGTCACCCTCCAAGATCCCAGAGCCACCTCAGGAGAGTCCAGAGGAAGAGCCTTTGGCTGACAGGGAGGTGAAAGCTGAGGTGGAGGACATAGAGGAGGGCCCCTCAGAGCTGCCTCCCCTGGAGTCACCACTAGCTTTGCCTGTCCCTGAGACCATGGTGGCTGTGAGCCCGGCAGGTGGCTGTGGAGGTGGCCTGCTGGAGGCCCAGGCGCTGAGTGCCTCAGGGCAGGGCTGTGGGGAGCCCTCTGAAGGCTCAGACTTTGCACAGGTTACTGAATCGCAGATGGAACTACCAGGCAGGACAGAACCCCATGTGGCCACCCTGGACCTGGGGACACGGCTGACACCAGAGCCACTGGTAGAGACTAAGGAGGAGCCAGTGGAGGTATTTCTGGATGTGCTGATGGAGAGACCTGTGGCTGAGGCAGAACCTGAGGAAGGCCTGCCCCAGCCATCTCTGCCTGAGCCCCAGCCCAGCTTGGAGCTCTCACACTGTGACCTACCTGCCACAGAGGATCAGTGTTCGAACCTCGAGGCCCAGGAGGCTGCACCTGCTCCGGGCAGTGCCTGCTATCTGGAAGAGGCTAGGGATGAACAACTGTTGCCAGTCCTAGAGGATCCACTGGCCGGCATGAATGCACTGGCAGCTGCTGCTGAGCTACCCCAGGCTAGGCCTCTGCCCTCTCTGGGCACTGGGGTCCAGGCTGTGGAGAAACTGGACCCGGCCCCCAGCATGGTCTTGGAGCACAGCTTCCTGCAAGGGATCAACCTGCTGAGTGAGATCGCTGAGCTGGAGCTGGACAAGAGGAGCCAGGAGAGTGCAGGTGAGCATTGGGTCTATGGAATCTGGGAGTTTCCCAAAAAACTTATAGAAGCCAGGTGCATGTTAATCCTAGCACTTTGGAGGCAGAGGCAGGAGGATCTCTGTGAACTCCAGGCCAGCCTGATCTACGTAGAGTTCCAGATGAGCCAGGCCTACATAGTGAGCCCTTGTTTGTTTAAAAAATATATATATATAAATATATATATTATATATATATATTTTTATATATATATAAAAAATATAAAAGCAGGGCGTGGTGGTGCACACCTTTAAGCCCAGCACTCGGGAGGCGAGGCAGGCGGATCTCTGTGAGTTCAAGGCCAGCCTGGTATACATAGTGAGTTCCAGGCCAGCTGGGGCTACAGGGAGACCCTGTCTCAAAAAGAAACAAACAAACAAAATACATATATAGGGGCTAGAGAGATGGCTCAGCGATTAAGAACACTGGTTGTTCTTGCAGAGGACCTGGGTTCAAATCCCAGCACCCACATGGCAGCTAACAACTGTCCTTAACTCCAGTCCCAGGGGATCCGACAGCCTCTTCTGACCTCGTGTATTGCATGACATGGGTACATTTACTTACATGCAGCAATACACGCTTACACATAAAATAAAAATAATAAATAAAATTTTTTTAAAAAGTTCAAAAAAATATAAAGATGTGCGACACCACTCCTGACTCGATTTTCTTTTTTTTTTTTTAAACTTGAAGACCCTTGGAATATGGCTTATTCATTTATTGTCTTTTTTTAAAAATATTTTTTATTATTTTTATTTTATGTGTATGAATGTATTGCCTGCATGTATGTGAGTGCACCTGTGTCGTGCAGTGCCACGGAGGTCAGAAGAGGGCTTCGGATTCCCCTCGAACTGGAGTTAAGGACGGTTGTTAGCTGCCATGTGGGTGCTGGGAACCCAACCTGGGTCCTCTGCAAGAGCAGTCAGTGCTCTTAACTGCTGAGCCATCTCTCCAGCCCCCATTTATTGTCTTTTTAATTATAAAGCTGGACTTGTTGGCACAGGCTTGTCATCCTAGCTACCTGGGAGGCTGAAGCAGGAAGATTGTGAATTCAAGGTCAGCCTGGGCTAGAGGAAGTACAAGACAGTCTTAGGCAACTTAGTGAAACTAATTCTCATAGTACAAAACAAAAAGAAAGCTGAAGATGTGGCTCAGTGGTAGAGCACCTGCCTACAATCCCCCAGTGAAGGTCTGTGTGGACATGGTTCAAAGTAGAGTGAGTGCCTAGAATCTACCCCGGTGTGGGGCTGTGGTTGTGGCTCAATGGTAGAGTACCTGCCTAGAACCCTCCACTGAAGGGCTGGGGCATGACTCAGTGGTAGAGAGCTTGCCTAAAATCCCTAGTGAAGGACTAGGAGTGTTGCTCAGAGGTAGTGTACCTGCTTACCATATGTAAGGCCCTAGGCCACGTGTTCCATCTCCAGTACTGGAGAAGGAAAAAAAAGTGGGGAAATACATATAACCAAAGGTGCCATTTTGACGGCCTTCAAGCATCCAGGTTAGTAGTAAGTCTTTTCTCACTGGCCTGTGACCAAACTCTGTGGTTCCTGCTTGTAGAATTTTGCTTTTTTCCTTTAATGGTGTATTGTAGAAGAATAAGATTTTTTGAGCTGCGAGAGACAGAAATTCATTTGGCTTTAAGAAAAGCAGGAGAAGGCCAGGAAGGTGGCTCAGTGAGTGAGGTGCCAAGCTTGACAACCTCAGTTTGATTCCCCAGGACCCCTCATGGTGTAAGGAGAGAACAGGCTGCCCAAAGTTCTGCTCTTACCTCCACATGTGTTCTGTCACATGTACACACAGACACACAAAGAAAGACAGGAGAGGGGCTGGCATGTAGCTCAGTTGACAGAGTGCATGAAGCCCTGGGTTCCATCCAAAGGAGATGTATAGTCCCAGCCCTTGGGAGATGTAGGCAGGAGGACCAGCACTCAAGGGTCATCCTCCAGCTATAGAGTTCAAGGTCAGTCTGGGCCCTGTAAGACCTGGTTTAGGAAACAAAACAAAACAAAACTGGGTGTGGTGGAGCATGCCTTTAATCCCAGTGCTCAGGTGGCAGAGGCAGGCAGATTTCTGCAAGATCAAGGCCAGCTGGGTTTACATAGTTCCAGGCCAGCTGGACCTCCCTGTCTCAACAAAACAAAACAAAACAACAAAACAAATGAAAAACAACAACAATAAAAAAAAAAACAAAACAGAAATCTTTGGACTGGATCTTGGGTACTTAAAATCACCAGGAGTTTCTTTTTCCTGGGAATACCCAGTTGGTTGTTGCTCCCTCTGCCTCCCTTTGTTTGATCTACTTTTATCTCCGATGGCCTCATTCTTGACTGCCTCTGTGCCAGCTCCTGTAAATCCTCCCAGGCCAGTGGACCTGCTCAGCTCAGCTCATTGGACTAGACAAGGTTGCCTCTTTCCTAGAAGGGCCAGTAAAAAACACAGACCTATGGCAAATTGGAGTTCCTGCCTTTCGCTGTAGAAAATGCTGTGGTTGGGGGTTGGGGAGATGGCTCAGTTAGTAAAGCACTTGCTATGAAAGAATGAGGACCTGAGTTTGAATCCCTGGAACCCTCGGAAAGCCAGATGTTTTTACATGTGCATGTAATTCTGTGCTTCTGCAGTGAGATTGGAGGTGGAGATAGGAGAATCCTGGAATGTTCCAAGGCTGGCTAGCCTCGCATGCACAGTGGGAGAACAAGAGACCCTGTCTCAAACCAGACGTTGGCCTCTGAGCTCTACCTACACTCCATGGGAACATGCTTGCACTCACACATATTAATGTATGTGCATACATACACACACACTTACACAGATTTAAAAAAAAAAAAGTTGAGGCAGTGGCAGGTGGATCTCTGAGTTCAAGGGCAGCCTGGTCTACATAGCAAGTTCTAGGTCAACTGAGGCTACAGGGAGACCCTGTCTCAAAAAAAAAAGCAATTTCTGTAGTTGGAAAATGCTTGCTTGGATTTCATTCATGCACTTCCAAACTCAGCCCCTGTTCTTTTGTGAGGAGTTTCTCTACATACACATTTGGAGATGAACTCCCAAATAAAGGCCAGCAGTGAACAGCTGGGCCCAGCTCCAGGTCACCTCTCTTTGTTTCCTGGGACTCTTAGAACAGTTGGCCAGTGACTGGGTTGCTTAGACTCTATTATGTTCTAAAATAATAATAATAATAATAATAATATTTGAGGCTGGTAAATAGCCCAGGGTAGCCTAGAACTATGTGGCCCAAGCTGGCTTTGAATCTTCAACAAACCTTTTGCCTCATCCCTCCTGAATGTTGGGATTATAGACATGTTATAGACCTTTCTAGACTTTTCTCTTTGGCTTGTAGATACCTTTGCCTATTTTTGTTTCCAAATATATTTAATCCATGTATTGGATTACAGCCTACCTTAGTAATCTCACAGCTGTCTCTGCAGAGACTCTGTATCCAAACAAAGCCCTGTTGTGCTCGTGGGGCTTGTCAGCACAGTGCACACCTATGGTGCCAGCATTGGGAGCCTGAGGTACTAGTGTTTAGAATGCAATTTGCTAAGTTAGGGGTTGCAGCTGTATCCATAAAGGCTGGCCTGGGAGGTCATGCCTGTGTCCCCCAGATGTCTTTGAAGAGCCTTAACGAGGCTAGTTAGTTGGAGGGAGAAGGACTTGACAGACTGGTCCCCTGGCTCCCTCCTGGTGTACAGAGCACCTGCCTCCTGCCTTACCAGAAGGCGTGGAGGGCAGGATGTAGAGGGCCAACCTGCTCTAACCTGATACTGACTAGGGAGTTCGTAGAGTCACTGCATGGTAGCCCTTGTTTGTCTAAGGATGTGTTAAGAATAAAACCCACCCACCTGGTGGCACAGACCTGTCCATCTCGGTTATGGCTGAGGCAGGATGATTGAAAGTTCAAGGCCTGCCTGGGCTTCAGAGTGAAGTTCAAAGCCAGCCTGAGGAACTCTCAGAAATAAAAAAAAAAAGCTCTGACGATAGAGCTCAGTGGGTGGTAGAATGCTTGTCTAACGTGTGGAGCCCTGCGTTCCATCTCTGGCACTGTATGAACCAGGTGTGGTGGGTCACACCTGTCATCCCAGCATTCAGGAAGCAGAGGCAGAGGAGGATCAGGAGTTGAAAGTCAGCCTTAGCTACATAGTGAGCTTGAGTCTAACCTGGGCTGTGTGAGACCTTGGTTTGGGGGGTGGATAGGGGGAAAATGAAATAAGAGAAAAAAAAAATTTTTTTTTTTTTGAGACAGGGTCTCCCTGTAGCCCCAGCTGTTCTAGAACTCATTGTGTAGACCAGGCTGGCCTTGAACCCACAGAGATCCGCCTGCCTCTGCCTCCCAAGTGCTGGGACTACAGGCGTGGGCCACCACACCTGGCAAGGGAAAAATTTTTAAAAGAACAAAACATGATTCTCATGGAGAAGATAATTAGCTATGTTTAGCCCCTGGGGGATATCAGCTAGATTTCTGGTTGTCATAGCTTCAGGGGAACACTGCTGACATCTAGTGGAGAAAGGAGGAGTCTTCAGTGAGCAACACTACAGAGATAGCTGGCCCCAGAGGGGACCAGCCAGCAGCTGGGTCAGGGTGCAGAAACCCTGATCTGTATGTTGTAGTCATCACTATTCACCTTTAGACACGGAAGATAGTGAACACTCTTCCTCTTTTTCCTCAAGCACATTTGACACGTACACAAAAACTGGTCGTATTTAAATCAAAGGAAATGCAGGTGTGAAAATTAACACAGGGCTGGTGCAATGGCTCAGTAGGTAAAGGTGCTTGCTGCTAAGCCTGACGACCTGAGTTTGATCCCTAGAATTCATGGGGGCATGAGAGACTCCCCAAAGTTGTCCTCAGACCTCTATATGCAACCTGATTCTCTCCCCCCAAATAATAAGTAAAATAAAACCAAAATTAAAATAGCCAGGCATGGTGCACTTGTGTGTGCAGAGGCCAGAAAAGGGTGTTGGATCTCCTAGAACTGGAGATATTGACAGTTGTTAGCTGGGAACCAAACCTGGATCCTATACAAGACCAGTCAGTGCCCTTAACTGCTGAGCCATCTCTCTGGCTCTCTGTCTCTGTCTCTGTCTCTGTCTCTCTCTATCTGGCTTTCTCTCTCTCTCTCTCTCTCTCTCTCTCTATCCTCTCTCTCTCTGTCTTTGGTTTTTTTCTTCTGCCTCCTTTCTCTTTCTCTCCCTGTCCTGGAACTCACTATGTAGACCAGGCTGGCCTTGAACTCACAGAGATTCGCCTGCCTCTGCCTCCCGAGTGCTGGGATTAAAGGAGTGCGCCACCACGCCCAGCCTCTGTATACATTTAAAAAAATTTTTTTTTATTTTTGAGACAGGGTCCCAGATGGCCTGGAGCCTCACTACATAGATCAGGCTAGCCTTGAACTCACAAAGATCCTTCTGCCTCTGCCTCCTGAGTACTGGGATGAAAGCTGTGCAACACCACACCCTGCTTTTTTTTAAAAAACAAAAACAAAAACAGGGTCTTATTATGTATCCTTGGCAGGCCTGGAACTTACTTATATAGACCAGCCTGGCCTTCAACTCACAAAGATCCTCCTGTTTCTGGGATTAAAGGTGTGCAGTGTCATACCTGGCCCTCCCAGAGAATTTTTTTGATTGGAGATAGGGTCTTTACTATGTAATCTGAGCTCAATCCTCCTACCTCAGCCTCCTGAGTGTTAGGATGACAGGTGTGCACCACCTCTGTTTCCCCAGACCTGTTTTCTGGTTGGGGGAATCATATATATTCACTGAGGAGAAATTTAAAACCAAATATGTGGGGAGATGATTGTCCTTGGTAAGGAGCCTCTGCCAGCCTTGAGTGACTCCTAGTTTTCCTAGGGTCCCACACACAGTATAGGAACAAGACTCCTCTATTCTGTCTACTTGATGTGGGAGGACATCCTACATCCTGGGATGATAGTCCAGGCAGCTCAAGATGGCTGTGTGGCTGTGTGGCCTCAGTCTCCTCTCTGTGCAGGGTCCAAGCTGGCCTGGCTGCAGTATCTAGGGTTTGTCTTGGCCTCAAGATGCCTGTGCAGGTGCATCCAGATTCCAGGGGATCTAAGTCTCTGTGCCATCACAGCCTCACTCTCCTCCATCCCAACTGCAGAGCCAAGCCTAGCTGTTCGGCCCTCACTGGAGAGCCTCCTGGCAGCCAGCAGCCACATGCTGAAGGAGGTACTGGAAGGCCCCTTTGAGGACCCACTCAAGAACCTGCGGCTCCCTCGTGAGCTGAACCCCAACAAGAAGTATAGCTGGATGCAGAAGAAAGAGGAACAGGTAAGCTCTGCCAGCTTTTCTAACTCCTGGCGCGGTGGAGGCCAGGGCAGCTATCCGATTTTTTTACCTTCACACTCCTTGCTGCATGTTCCTGGGCAGGTGACTTCCCCTCTCTGGGCTTTAGTCAATCCATTAGTCAATCCATCCGATTGCACATCAGCATGTCCCATGGGTGCAGCATGATGGGGTGGAAGAAGCCAGGCCTGGGTCTTTCTGCCTTTTGCTGTGCATGTAACCATGGGCAGCAGCTGTCCAGTGCAAATCTGTGTGTGTAAATGACACACTTGCCTCATTGAACCTTCAGGACAGTTAGGATAGTGCCATACCAATGTTGATACAACCCTGCAAAGTTGGTGTTAGGGCTCCTGAACATAAGAGGAGAGATAGGATCCATATCTGGTAACAGGCAGTGATGGACTGGCTGGGTGTAGTGGCTCATGGTTGTAGTCCCAGCACTTAAGAAACTGAGACAGGGGGACTACTGAGACTTCCAGGCCAGCCTGAACTATAGCATAATTTACCCTGTCTCGGAAAGAAAAAGAAGGGCTGGAGAGATGGCTCAACAATTAAGAGCATTGGTTGCTCTTGCACAGGGTCTGGGTTCAGTTCCCAGCACCTACTGATGGCTAACAACCACCTGTAACTCCAGGGATCTGATGCCCTCCTTTGGCCTCTGTGGGCATTGCACACCTGGGTGCACTTAGGTACATGCAGGCAAAACACTCATACGCATTATAATTAATTAATTAAAAATAGCTGGGACGATAGCTCAGTAGGAGTGGGCACTTGATACCAAGCTTGATGGTCTGAGTTCAATCCCTGGGAGCTACATGGTGGAAGGAAAGAACCTACTCCTTCAGGTTTGCTCTCTGACTTCCACACATGAGCTGTGGCACACACGTCCACACACATGTACACACAATAACAATAAAACTAAAAGCTGGGAATGGAGGTCAGTTGTTGCTTAGCATGTTTGAAGCCTTAAGTTCCATCCGCACTTTCTGAACTCGACATGGTGGAACATGTCTGTAAAGGTCCCAATGCTCAGGATGTGGAGGAAGTTCAAGGTCATCCCCAACCACTTACTGAATCTGAGGCTAGCCTGGACTCCATGAGACCTTGTCTCGAAAAACAAACAAAACAACAGTGATGGGGACTCCAGCCACTGGATCTTTTACACTGTTATCTGAGAGTACATCTACCAGATGGGGAAGTGGGGCATCAGCAGGCATCAGCATCCTCAACTGTGTCCTCTGCCCTCAACTCCTTGGTGTTCCTTCTAGATGTTTGCCATGAAGTCGTCCCTGGAGGATATGGATGCCCTGGAGCTGGACTTCCGGATGCGGCTCGCAGAGGTCCAACGTCAGTACAAAGAGAAACAGCGAGAGCTGGTAAAGCTGCAGCGACGCCGAGACTCGGGGTGAGTGTCTCCCTAGCCTATGCCCCATCCTGGGCATCCGGTCAGTAGTGACAGTGGTCAGGTGTGTGCGTGGACCCGATTGCCCTGTGTGCAATGTGTGCCCTTCTCCATGCCCCGCCTACCCCCCAGGTTCCCAGCCCGGCCCTATGGTTCTCTTTAAGGGACAGGTTCGAGGATCCCCATAAGAGGCTGGCACGCAGAGGCCCTGGCAGGCCACGGAAACGGACCCACACCCCGAGCGCCCTGTCGCCCCCCTGCAGGAGAGGGAAGAGCCACAGCGGTAGCGGAAAGTAAGGCTGGTCCCTCGGTGGGTCGGGGACTGACTGGCACACAGCCCGGAGGGGAGGAACAGGGTCCCCCTATATGGTGCCCACCACTGGGCTCCAGGGGACCTGGAAGTCCTTGGGACTCTGATCTTTGAACGGCAGCTCCCATGGAGCCCAGAGTTCTGTCCAGGCCAGGAGGATGAGTGGAGAGATCGTCGGTGGCCTGACCTGAGAACCTGGCCCTTTTTCCTGTCCCCACTGATTATTCACTGCCAGGGACAAATCTCTGTTTCTTTCCATGTCTCCTTTCTGTTGAGGTGCCACTCAGTGGCCAGTCTTCCCTAGAACAGGCTGGACATTCCCCTGTCCTCTGGGATCCCAGCTGAGAACCAGAGTGGCTCTCTGTTGTGTTCTCTGCGAACATGGTCCTCTTGGGTGGCACTGCAGCTCTTTCAGAGGGCTTCCCTGGAAGTTGTCTTGAACGTTGGCAGGGATGAGAGCATTTTTTCTCCAGGGCCAAGCATCTGTCCAGATAGGCTCCAGCCTCTACTGGTACCTGTAAACAGGCCACATGAGGTCCGTTGAGAAAAGGGGTTGGAAAGCTGTGCGGCCTGGAACATGAGGGTAGGTGGACATTGGGCCACCTAGTGCTTGGTGACGAAAGGAGGGATGGCTCAGTGGTTAAGAGCACCGACTGCTCTTGCAGAGGACCCAGATTTAGTTCCCAGGACCCACATGGCAGCTAACAACTGGTTGTAACTCCTGTTCCAGATTGTCTAATGTCCTCTTCTGGCCACTGTGAGTACTATACACACGTGGTGCACGTGCATACATGCAAGTGAATTTTTTTTTTTTTTGTCTCTTTGAGACAAGATCTCCCTGTAACCCCAGCTGGTCTGGAACTCACTATGTAGACCAGGCTGGCCTTGAACTCACAGAGATCCACCTGCCTCTGCCTCCCAAGTGCTGGGATTAAAGTCATGCAGCACCACACCTGGCCACATACATTTTTTTAAAAAGGAATTTTAGCCTGTTGTGGTGGTACACACCTTTAATACCAGCACTCGGGAGGCAGAGGCAGGTGGACCTCTGTGAGATCAAGGGCAGCCTGGTCTACATAGTAAGCTCTAGGCCAGCTGGGACTACATGGAAATCCTGTTCCAAAAAAAAAAGGAATCTTGGGGACTTGGAGTGGCTGCCATCTTGCCTCATCTTGTATCTTACCTTAGATATTCCTGACTGGGAAAAGGACAGAGAGTGGTATGTATATGTATCTGTCACCAGCCACAGGAGAGTGTAAGGAGACACTCTGGAGAAACAGGGCAAGCAGCTGGGCTTACCGGCAGTGCTGGTCAAGTGGTCAAGGTGCTCACGAACTTGTTCTGAGTCCTAACTCCATGTTTCTTTTGACCTTGGGTCAGGACGAAGCTCAGTTTGTAAAGAGCTTGCCTAATGCACAAAGCCCTGAGTGCCATCCCTAGCACCACATAGACCTAGTGTGGTTGTGGCATGTGCCTGGAATCCCAGCACTTAGGAAGTGGAGGCAGGTGTGAGAACTGAGGGAAGCTTCTGCCTGTAGCCTAGTTGTTTGGACTTACCAGAAAAGGGGGCTGAGTGTTGATTGTTCATTCCAGCTTGATGTTAATCTTCCCTCCCATCTCGGTAGATTTCCTTAGAGGTTTCTTACCTTTGTTCTTTGTATAATTTTGGTAAAGATAGGTCTTACTGGTTTAAGGGGTGTGTGTGTGTGTGTGTGTGTGTGTGTGTGTGTGTGTATAAAACCATATAAAAGAGAGGCTGATGGAAGATGTTGGCTTCAAGGGTTTTTTTCTTCTTTCATGTCAAATTCTCTTTCTGCCTCATTCACGTACATCCCAACATTCCCATGCTGTAGGTTTGTAACATCTCCCTGCACTGCTCACTGTGTTTCTTCCCACATTTAGAGCTCAACCCTTCAAGGCCACGTGGGTGGACCCAACCCTGCCAAGTCCCTGACCCAGCACTGATGTGTTTGGCTTTCAGGCTGAGCAGCAAGTCCCTGCTGACATCAGAGGACTACGAGCTGGGAGCAGGGATGAGGAAGCGACACAAGGGGTCTGAGGAGGACCACGGTATCGGAATGGGGAAAGCCAGGGGCAGGAACCAGAGCTGGGATGAGCACGAATCCTCATCCGACTTCGTGAGTCAGGTCAGTAAACCCAGTCTTGTAGACATGACACACCCTGTGGCACAATCCCAAACCTGGAATTTATACCTGAGACAGTGCACCATTCCCTTTGGGGGCTAACCCTTCTGCACCATATCAATGACTGCCTCATTGTGTGAGGGGAAAATGAAGGCCCAGAGGAGATTAAGGGTTAGTAAAGTAGCGCAGCCCTGGAGGCAGCTAGGACTAAAAGCTATATGGGCCTGGGTGTGCCATAGGACTTTTTCCCTAATTAATTAATTAATTAATCAATTTTTATTTCATGTGTATGAATGTTTTGCTTGCATGTATGTGGGTGTACCACATGCATGCAATGCCCGTGGAAGCCAGAAGAGGGTGTTGGATCCTCTGGAATCGGAGTTATAGATGACTGTTAGCCGCCATGTGGGTACTGGGAACAGAATCTGGGTCCTCTGCAAGAGCAGCCAGTGCTCTTAAGCACTAAGCCATCTCTCTAGCCTCCGAGTCATGACTGTTAAGTATAGCAGGAGACTGACTGCATGTTCTTAACCAAATAGCACGGTTATTCTGCTGTTTAACATTTTAATTGTTTAATAAGCACCTTTGCCTTTGCATAATTCTAAGAAACGGGGTGGTGTCGCTGTGATTCTCTCTTTGGATTCTCCAGCGGTAATGCCTCATTTTCACAGAGCATTGCACTTACGGTACCAATACTTAAATGCTAATATGCCTTTGTCATCCCATAAAGCCTTGTGGGAGGAGGACATTTTGGTTAATTTGGCCACTAGAGGGAATTGTCACGTAAAGATGCTGGCTCCTGGATGAGAGAGATTGCCAGTTTGGGGCTGTAAGATGGCTCAGTGGGTAAAGCTCTTGCTGTGCAAATGTTGAAAACTTCAGATTGGATCTCTAGAAACCCATATAAAGGCTGGGTTGATGGGGCAGTTTGTCTGTAATCCTATAGTTCAAGATGCAGAGATGGGTGTTATCTGGGGTAAGCTGGCTGGTTACACCAGCTGGAACAGCAAGCACTGAGTTCAACGCCAAGTTAAACAAGACGCACTACTTCAAAATATAAGGTGGAAAATGACCAAGGCCTCCAAATGTACATGTATGCACATGTATCTGTGCATACATATGCACCTGCACATATGTAAACATGCACACCTATTTATATATGCAAAAAAAGAAAAATATGGGGCTGGAGAGATGGCTCAATGGTTTGGTTGCCAGCACCCACATGGCAACTCACAGCCATCTGTAACTTCAGTTCCAGCGGGATCTGATGCCCTCTTCTGGCCGCCTTGGGTACTGCATTCATGTGGCACACATATATATGCAGACAAAATACTCATATGCAGAAAATACAGTAAATCTTTAAGAAAATAGAGAAGTGGTGGTATACTCCTTTAATCCCACAGCATTTGGGAGGCAGAGGCAGGCAGATTGCTGTGAGACTGAGGCCATTCTGGGATGATTTACATAGGAAGTTCTGGGCCAGTTGGGGCTACATAGTGAGACCCCGGCTCAAAATAAACAAATAGAAAAAATAAAATAAAAAGATAACCAGGCATGGTGGCACATATCTTTAATGCCAAACACTCAGGAGGCAGAGGCAGGCAAATCTCTCTGAGTTCTAGAACAACCTGGTCTACATAGCGAGTTCCTGCTCTGCCAGGGCTACATAGTGAGACTCTGTCTCAGAAAAATAAAAAAAAATAAATGAAAGAAATGAAAAACTTTCCAGTCATTGTACACCAGGATCTTTTTTCCTCTCATGTCGTGGCAAAAGATACTTTAGTTACTATCTGGATGACAACATCCAACTCCTTCCCTCCTTCTGCAGCTGCTGATTAAAGATAACAGAGCTAGCGCCTTGAAATGTGAAGCGTTAATGCCTCTGAAACTGCACATTTCATTTCAACAAATGACTACCTTTGGCGATAGATGCACAGGGAGGAATTTAATCTGTGAAATCTCTAATCACTCTCTCCACTGCAGGCATCCAAGGCACACTCTATGCGTTTTTTTTGGCAGCTCTGGCCCATTTAGTTGGACAGCCCCCATCAGCTGCTGTAGAGGTTGAGAGATAAGCAAATCAGCTGAGCTCTGATCTCAGTTTTCTGTCTTGGTTCTCGCCCTCCCCTGTTAATCCAGCTACCTTCCCCAGGCCATCTGCAGCTCGGTTTGCTTCTAGCTCTTCTCTAGGAGGTAGCCAACAGGGCTGCTTGGAAACGCCATCACCAGCCATGATTGTAACCATAGTAACCACTTTTAATAAGCGGTTACTGCAGGCCGGGCATTTTGATGTGTTTTATTTTCTTTAAGCTTTTACTACCTTAATTTGTTTTAAAAAAGATATATATTTAAGACTTGTTTTTATCTTGCGTGTAAGTGATTTGACCGTATGTATCTGTGTACCTGATGGGTGTGCAGTGCTCACCTCAGTGGCCACAAGAGAATGATAGAGCCACCGTGGTGCTGGGAACCGAACCTGTGTAAAAGCAGCCAATACTCTTTAACACAGGGCCATCTTTCTGCAGCCCCAATATTTAATTAATTAACTTGGTTGGTTAGTTTGTTGTTGTTGATTTTCTTTATTTAGGAAACAGGGTTCTTTCTGGGCCCCAGCTGGCCTGGAACGCCCAGAGATCCACTTGCTTCTGCCTTCTGAGTACTGGGCTTAAAGGTGTATGCCACCATGCCTGGCTCCAATATTTTATTTTATTACTATTATTCTAATTTTTTTCATTTATTTATTTATTTTACTTATTTTTTATTATTTTTATTTTATGTGTGTGCATATATTGCCTGCATGTATGGAAGTGTGCCCGTGTGGTGCAATGCCTGGCAGAGGTCAGAAGAGGGCATCGGATCCTCTAGAACTGGAGTTATGGACAGTTATTAGCTGCCATGTGGGTGCTGGGATCTGAACCCGGGTCTTCTGCAAGACATTCAGTGTTCTTAACCACTGATCCATTTCTCCAGCCCCTATTATTTTAATATTTTATGTGTGTAAGTGTATCGCCTGCCTGTGTTTAAGCGCACTTGTGTTGTGCAATGCCTGTGGAGGTCAGAAGAGGGCATTGGATCCCTGGAACTGGAGTTAGGGATGATTGTTGGCTGCCAAGTAGATGCTGGGGCTTGAACCTGGGTCCTCTGGAAGAGCAGTCAGTGCTCTTAACCACTGATCCATCTCTCCAGCCCCTTATTATTATTTTTTTAGGTTTTATATACTTAAAAATTTTTTATGTGTATGAGTGTATTGCCCGCATGTATGTAAGAGCACCCATGTCATGCAATGTCCGTGGCAGTCAGAAGAGGGTGTTGTATTCCTTAGAATTGGAGTTACAGACAAAATTGATAGCTGTCATGTGGGTGCTGGGAACTGAACCCAGGTCCTCTGCAAGAGTAGTCAGTGCTCTTAACTGCTGAGCCCTCTCTTCAGCCCTGCAATATTTTATTTTTTAAAAACTTTATGTGTATGGGTGTTTTGCTGTATGTTTTTAAAGTGCACCATGTGAGGCCAGAAGAGGGTGTCAGATACCCTGGAACTGCAGTTTGGAATGGTTATTAGTGATCATGTGAGTGCCAGAAAACTCACCCAGGTCCTCTGCAAGAGCAACCCATGCTCTTAACCTCTGAGTGTCTTCTCCAGTCCTACATTTATTTATTTTTGTAAGATTTGTTTTTATTTTTATAAATTATATGTGTCTCTGTGTCAGAGTACAGGTGCCTGTGGAGGCCAGAAGAGGGCATCAGATCCCCTGGAAATGGAGTTACAGGCAGTTGTGAGAGATCAAACAGCTCATCAGTATAGTGGGCAGGTGCCTTTACCCACTGAACATCGCACTGGCCCCACAAGTATTTTTCATATGCCTTAACCTTGGTTGATCTTTAGAATAACTTGGTGATGCTCATGCACAGGACCTCTCCCCTCTTTTTTAATTTTTTATTCTTTTTGAGATAGGATGTCACTGTTAACACTAGCTGGCCTCAAACTTGCTATGTAGACCAAACTGACCCAAACTCACAGAGATTCAACCTCCTCTGCTTCCCAAGCACTGGGTAAAGGTGCGTGCTACCACACCTGACTCGATTATTTTTCAATTTTTAAACACTATTTAAAAAAAAAATTTTTTTTTTTTGTCTTTTTGAGGCAGGCTCTTCCTGTAGCCCCAGCTGTCCTGGAACTCACTATGTAGACCAGGCTGGCTTTGAACTCACAGAGATCCGCCTGCCTCTGCCTCCGAGTGCTGGGACTAAAGGCGTGTGTCACCACGCCTGGCTCAATACTTACTATTTTTATTTTATGTGTAGGAGTGTTTTTCCTTCATGTATGTAAGTGCACCACATATATGCAATGCCTGTGGAGGCCAGAAAAGGGCATAGAAGCCACTGGAACTGGAGTTAGGGGTGGTTGTGAGCCGCCATGTACTGGAAACTAAACCCAGGTCTTCTGCAGGAGCAGCCGGTGCTCTTAACCTCTGAGCCATCTCTCCAGTCTCCTGCCCCGTATCCCCATTTTAGAGTGGAAGATTGAGACTGAGTTAATCAGTTTTCTATGAGTCTGAAAGATAAGAGGAAGGACTGGAACCCAGGCTTGTAAGTGTTGTATACCGAAATAGCCGTGTCTTAAGATGTGACTCAACTTTCCCTCCTCAGCTAAAGATTAAGAAGAAGAAGATGGCCAGCGACCAGGAGCAGTTGGCAAGCAAGCTAGACAAAGCCCTCTCCCTCACAAAGCAGGACAAGCTGAAGTCGCCCTTCAAGTTTTCGGACAGTCCTGGGGGGAAATCGAAAATTAGTGGGGGCTGCGGGAGGTTCTTGACATCTTATGACAGCCTGCTGGCCAAGGACAGGAAGGTGCTGGCCAAAGGCCTCGGCCTGTCTCTGAAGCCCTCCAGAGAAGGTAAACACAGAAGGGCTGCCAAAGCCAGGAAGATGGAGGTGGGGTTCAAGGCCAGAGGCCAGCCGAAGTCTGTCCACTGTCCATTTGCCTCAGAAGTGAGCAGCTACTCCTACAGTAAGTACTGCACTGGACACCAACAGGGGACCAATGCTAATCTCACTCGTTTCCTCCCTTTTACCCTCCTTTTCCTCTCTAGGAGACTTGAGGGGCTCTTCTGGAAGTGGAAATGCCTGTGAATGGCAGGTGTCGTTGCCAGACAGGCAGTTGTGATTGGCAGGCGGCCATGGTTATTGGGTGGAACTGGATGTTGTTCTGTGTTGCAGGGCCTTCCTGGGCCCTCTGGAAACCATCTTTCCTGAGGCCTTATACCACAGAGTTGGCAGCTATTTGGACTAGAGACCTGAAATGTGGCTGCTCTGAGTTCTAGAGGTGATGGGCTCTGCTGCCCATAGGAAGTTGTTGTTTGTGCCATATCAAAGTGCATCCATAGGTGGTAGTGGAAATGGGTCATGGATGGTTTGGGAGAAGAGCGTGTGCTCAAGTGGGGAGAGTCAAACTGGTTTTATCAGACCTGTTTGCCCACTGCAGCGCCCTGCCAAGATGGCCATGTTTCCACTTTGGCCTCGTCCACTGCAGGAGCCACGTGTGGTAAAGTGCCATTGAAACAGAGCAGCCCATGGGACTGAGGGATGGAGTTTTAAATTCTGTTTAAGTGGAGCCTGCCCTTGTGGTTTTTCAGAGCGAGGCAGCTCTCCTTGGCCTCTCTCGGCCTTCAGTCCCTCTGCCTGGCAAGCTGGTAGGTGTTTACTCAGTATCTGTGGATGGGCGCCTGAGGTCCAGTGCTGGAGGTACTCAGGGTGTGGCTGCTGCGATAGACAGGAGGGGCTTCTCCCATCCAGGCCCGGGTCACAGAGGTTGACTCCGGGAGTCTGCAGGGTTTGTTTATGTTCTGTCAGATTGACTGTGTTAGACTTTGCTGCTCTCTGGTTGTTGGAGTGTATGTATGCAACTTTGACTGTCAAGTGAAAATACTGACACATTGCATGTTTTGTTTCTGGTGGTGCTGGGGATTAATCCCAGGATGCAGCGCATGTAGACAAGAGCTCTACCCCAGCCCTAAGCCTTGTCGAATTTTATTTCTGTCTCTCTACCTTTCCTTCCCTTATCAACACAGGGTCTCCTTAATGTGTAGCTAGGTTGGTCTGGATTCACTATGTACTTGGCCTAGGCTGACTCTGAATTCTAGATTCTTCTGCTTCCACTGCCTGAATGCTGGAATTACAGGCATTTGCCTCCATGCCCAGTTTACTTATGAGATATTTATTATTTCTTTTTGTTTTGAGATAGTCTTCTCATTATGTAGTCCTGGCTGGCCTGGAACTCACTATGTAGACCAGGCTGGTCTTGAACTCACAGAGAATTACCTGTCTCTGCCTCTCAAGTGTTAGGATTAAAGTCATGTGCCACCATGCCTGGCTTTTTTAAAAAAATTTTTTATTCATGTGTGTGTATATGCCATGTGTGTGCTGGTGCTTGTGGTGGCCAGAAGAAGGTATCGGATCCCCTGGAACAGGAGTTAGAGGTAGTTGTGAACCACCTGACATGGGTTCTGGGAATTGAACCCGGGTCCTCTGCAAGAGCAGCATGTGCTCTTAACTGTTGAGCCATCTCTCCAGCTCCCCCCCCATCTGCCCCTTTCTTTCTTTCTTTCTTTCTTTCTTTCTTTCTTTCTTTCTTTCTCTCTTTCTTTCTTTCTTTCTTTCTTTCTCTCTTTCTTTCTTTCTTTCTTTCTTTCTCTCTTTCTTTCTTTCTTTCTTTCTTTCTCTCTTTCTTTCTTTCTTTCTTTCTTTCTTCTTTCTTTCTCTCTCTCTCTCTTTCTTTCTTTCTTCTTTTCCCTCCCTCCTTTTTCTTTCTCTTTCTTTCTTTCTTTCTTTCTTTCTTTCTTAAATTATTTTATGTGTATAAGTGTTATACCTACATGTATGTAAGTGCATCTGTGTCATACAGTGCCCTTTAGAGGACAGAGAGGGTATCCTGGAACTGGAGTTACTGATGGTTGTTGCCACCGTGTGGGTGCTAGGATTTGAACCCAGCTCTTCTACAAGGACAGCCAGTGCTCTTAACACTGAGCCATCTCTCCAGCCCATTTTCTTTCTTTTTGAAAATCTTTTTTGATTTATTTTTATTTTATGTATGTATTTGCCTGTATTGCACCACATGTGCATAATGACTGCAGTGGCAAGAAGAGAACACTGGATCCCCATGGAACTGGAGTTATGGACATTTGTTAGCTGCTGTGTAGGTGCTGGGATCTGAACCTGAGTCCATTGCAAGAGCAACCAGTGCTCTGAGCCATCGCTCTAATGTGTTTTTTTTCTTTTGGGTTTTTTGAAATAAGTTCTCCCTGTAGCCTGGAACTCACTTCATAGACAAGGCTGGCCTCAATCTCACAGAGGTGTGCCTGCCTCTGCCTCCCAAGTGCTGGGATTAAAGTCCCATGCCACCACGCCCGTTTCTTGAGGTAAGAAAATACAGTTGTTTGTGACCTTGGAGGTTCAGACATTTTTAGCTTCCCAGGGCTGATGTGTTCAGAGAGCTCAGAAGCTGTGTAGTGTTAAGCTGGTGTTTTGTGCAAAGGGTGTGTGTGTGTTGGTTTGTCCTGGACCAGCAGATCTCTAAGACTGATGCTTCAGTGGGTGTGAGGCTGCCTGCCCCTCAGCCTTATACAGCAGGAACATGTCGTAGCTTCAGTGTTCCTAACTCATGTCTGGTTGGTATGGTCAGACAGGGTTCCACAGCTCTCAGGCACAAGGAGAGACCCACAGTGACAGACTTGTGGCTGGAAGTGGGAGACAGAATGGTAGCCTCTTGCTTTCCCATTTGGGGTTGGAGGGTGTGATTGTCATGCCAGGTATGTTCTTGTGGGGAACCAAGTTGGTGGGTGTCAACTGTAGGCTATTTCTGGCCTTGGAAGAACAATTCAGAACACATGAGAGGGAGCTAGTGAGATGGCTCAGTGGGGAGAAGCACTTATCATGCAATCCTGAGGACCCGAGTTCAATTCCCAGAACCCAGAATGAAGAAAAGAACTTTCTGAAAAATTTTTCTTTGAACTCCACATTTGTTGAAATTCACGCATGTGCACACATACACATACAATGAGTAAAAGTTTCAGAAGAAGAAAGACCACACAAAAGGAAGACTCTGTTAAGGACTGGTGGCTTGGTGGACCTTGACATTTTTCCTACACCAGATTTGCCAGTCCACCCTGAAGGCTGGGGTCTTGGCTGGAGTAGAAAGTGGAGATATTGGTAAAGCAGCATTACGGACAACCCAAGCCCCTGCACGTGTTTGGTTTCTCTCAGATTTGAGGTGGTCAGAGGCTGCCAGAGTGGTAGTGTGTGTATTCATGTTCCTCCTGTTCGGCCTGGGGCTTTACCAGATCAAGGTATTACTGTGTTGGCCGTTGGGCTCTTTGTTTTCAGTCTTGCTTAACAATGTTGAAAATAGATCAAGATAGTGTGTGTTTGAGTTGAAGTTGAAAGGGACCAGAACTAAGCCCTGTTGTCGGGCTCTCTGGCTAACCATGGCATTGGTGGTGTACTGCTGCTTAGTCAGCTCTGCTGGAGAAAGAGGGGTTGGGGGAGCCCCCTATTTGTGCTCTCATCTCATTGGTCTGGTTTAAGTCTGTCCACCCACTTCCACCTCTGTTCTGAGGCTGAACAAGGAATTGGAAAGAGATCAGTAGGATTAGCCTTCATGAGCCATTGTGAGCTGTGTCCCTCACCCAAAGCAGCTACTGGGCTGTGTGCCATTTGTGGGGTGGAAGGAACCATATGTCTGTGGCCACCAAGAATTGGAGAGCATTTCCTAAAAATGGGGCCCCCCCTGTGGTCTCCCAAGTGGCTGGAGTGATGACAGCAGTGTCGCATTCGAAAAGGCCTGGCCTGCTTCTCAGCAGATGGGTTTCAGACAATGCTTGGAGACCTGCCCGGGTCAAGATGAGATCTGGGGGTATCACACATGCCCCAGGCCTGTGGGCATCTGGTGTAGCACATCTCTGTATTCTTTAGAGGCACTGACAGAGATAAAGACATCAGCCCCCTCCTCTCTGTGCTTCACAAGTTTATCTGAATTAAAACCTAGTTTGAGGGGCTGAGGAGATGGCTCAGTGAGTAAAGTGCTTGCTGCACAAGAATGAGGACCCAAGTTCAATCCCTAGCACACACATTAAAAAAGCTGGATGTGAAGGTACATGCTTGTAATCTCAGTGTTCAGGAGACAGAGACAGGAGAATCTCTGAGGCTCATGGCCGACAGCCTCACCGACTTGGCAGGCCTCAGATCCCATTGAGAAACCCTGTTTCAGAAAACAAGGAGGATACTGGGTGGTGTGGTACACAAGTGGTAACAGCAGAGTTCACTACAGCTATCTTAGTTCTTGGTAGCATAGTGAGTTCCCAGCCAGCCTGATACCGAGTTCCAGGCCAGCAGGTGTATAGTGAGACCCTATCTCTAAAAAACCAACAAACCAAACAAACCCCAAGTTGGGGTCGACGAGATGGCTCCACATTAAGGTGCCTGCCGCCAAGCCTTATGACCTGAGTTCACTCTCCAGGACCCACATGATGGAAGGAGAGAACCATCTCTTACAAGTTATCCTCTGACCTCCACATGTGGTCCCTGGCACTCAACGTGCCCTACCCCGCAATAAATCAATAAAAATGTAATAGAACATGTAGAGGAGACTTGAGTAATGGCATTCCAGGTTGAACTCTGGCCTCCATACTGTTGCGCGCGCACGCACACACACTCACACATGCACGCACACACAAGGCAAGTAAAAAATAAAACCTACTTTGACTGCAGATACGGACTCAGAGGAAGAGGAGGACTTCTTGAAGGATGAGTGGTCTGCCCAAGGCCCTTCCAGCTCCAAACTGACCCCATCCCTCCTGTGTGGCATGGTGGCTAAGAACAGCAAGCCGGCCGCAGGCCCCAAACTGACCAAGAGGGGCCTGGCAGCCCCCCGGACTCTGAAACCCAAGGCGGCCACCGGCAGGAAACAGCCGTTCTGTTTGCTGCTCCGAGAGGCCCGCCCCTCCTTCAGCGACTCTTCGGAGGATGACTCATTTGATCAAGGTTACTAGCCCCAAACACAAAATACCTTCCGTGTTTTTAGAGCGAGAGTGAGTGGGAAAGAGAGGGAGAGAGCGAGCGAGTGTTCAAGAATGGTTGCGACAGCAGAGATGGCTCTGGTCATCTTGTTCTTGGCAGCGTAGCCTGCCCTATCCGCCTATATTTTTTGATTTTGCTTTTGATTTGTAGTTAAACCATTGCGATGACACTATTGGCCAGCTCTTAAGGGAGCTTCTAACACGGACTGGGTTTTAGTCTCCCAATCTTCACCCCCACCTCCCTCCACACCCCTCTGGCCCTCCCTGAGGGCCCCCCATCCTTCCCTTGACCTCCCCAGGCTCCCACCCCCAACCCCAGGCTGGGCTGGGCTCTCTCTTGGCACTGGCCTGGCGGAGGCTTGCCCGAGGAGCATTTTGTAAACTGGACTTCTTGTGTGGGTGTGTGACTTACTGTTTGTACCGCAATTTTGGTAATACCAAGCTTTATTAAACATACCGAGTTCATTTTTAACTAAACTGTGTGCCTCGTTTCTCTTGCTGTGTCTTAACCAGACATTAGGGTTATTCATTCCTCCTCCCCCTTCCTCTCTTCCCCACCTCCTTCCCCTACCCCAGAAGACACGGGTGGACCCCTCTTCTCTGTTATTTAAATACCCTTGGCAGCTCTGGCATCCATCCCATTTTTCAGGTGTTCAGTCAATTGTATCATGTGTTTGTTTTTTGTTTTGTTTTTTTTTTTTTCAAAGCTGCTTGTCTGTGTTTTATTTTCTCAAAGCTCTGCTATTACCCACCAGTGGTTATAAAAAAAATAATTAACTTACCAACACTTGTCTTCTAACACATATTTCTGCTTTGAAGGGCATGTGGGCAGTACAAGGTCAAGGCCTGATTTTTTTTTTTTTTTTTTTTTTTTTTTAATTTGAAAGCAAAAAAAAAAAAAAAAAAGAGGACGATAAATCTTTCACTGTGATATATCAAAATAA